ACACATCTTGCTTATCTGCTGGTACACTGGTGGTGGTTAAAATACTTGGCTGTTAATCTCAAAGTTGGAGATTCAAACCCACCAGTGACCCCAAGGAAGAAAAATAAGGCCATTTACTCTTGTTATGGTTTATAGCCTTGGAAACTCTTTGTATCAGCTCTGTTCTGTGCTTTATGGTTTCTATGGGTTCAAACAGACTCCAGAGCAGTGAGAGGGTTTTTGTTTTGTGGGTAGTACCTATAAGAAGGAAATCTGTGTGACTTAATTTTCAAGCCAACTCTTCTCTAGTTTCAAATCTAGATAACAAAGTTTCAGTATGTATAGATTGCCAAACTTCCCATGATATTTCTGCTGGGGAAGAGGGTAAGACTTCCATGGAGAAAGAAAATGGACGAGGAACAAAGTTGTTAGTAGGAGCACTAGTTTTGGCTTGTGCAATAGTTCACTGAAAATTCTGAACATTTCACCATGTACACAGCAAATGATTTAACTTTCAAGATTTCTTCACAGTGTCTTAAGATTCTGATCCTTTACTCTCTTTTCCTTGTGATCCTGTGTTGTTATGACTTCTACTATCTTCAGGAAATAATGGCTGAACATAGTTCCCAGTATCTCATTGAGCTAGATGGAAACAATCCACCAGAAGAACTATTTCTGGTGAGTATAACAATAATTGGGAAAATATATCCCAACTTGGAAAATTCTAAAGTTACTGACTTTATTTTGCTAGTTATAATAAATATCAGAAATACATTTTCAAAAAAAAAAAGAAATACATTTTCATATTAAATAGAAACTTTTAAAAAATTAATCTTGATATATGAAGTATTGATGTCTTAATTATTTCTCTGTATTTAAATCAAAGCTACATTTGAGTTTGAAATCTGCATTTGGCAAAAACCATATACCAGGTAATCAATGAAAAAAATAATAGAAAGTGCTGTACTTTTCCAAAATTTTGGGACATTCAAATGACAATATATTTGTTCTTTAAATGTAGGCAGTGATGGAGAGACTTAAATATCTGAACCTAAGAAGAGCAGCTGTTTTAACCAAACTTCAGAGTTCAGAGGAAGAAATCAGTGACATGCTAGAAAATGTAAGTGATATCTAACTGACTAAAAGAGCACTTTTCCTTATGTGTTGTGACCTTAATTTGTATTCTTTCAAGGTTCAGAAGGAGTTTCAAGATGTTGTGTTATTGTTGTGTACCATTGAGTCAGAACCAACCCATAGCTGACCCTTCACCAGGTTTTTAGAGGCAGTTAATCATTTGGGATGCTAGGCTGTATGAGGAGGAATGTGGCATCAGGATTGGAGGAAGATTCATCAACAACCCACGGTATGCAGATGTCACAGCCCTGCTTGCTGAAACTGAGGAGGACCTGAAGCACTTGCTTCAGAACGTCAAGAACTGTAGCTTTCAATATGGATTGAAGCTCAACATCAAGAAAACAAAGATTCTTATTTGCTGAGGACTGGTGACTTGGCAGCTTAATATCTGGGAACAGACTGCAACCCCTAACTCCCAGCGCTGCCCAAGCCCTGCACCCCTCATCCCTGCCGCAGCACCATGTCCAGGGACACCACCCCACCACCATCCCAC